CCACGTGCCCAAGTTCAGGACTTATCTGTACGGCACATAGCACATCTTGAGTTTTAATACCTCCATAAAACCTCTTGGAGAACCTTGTCTGAATTCTGAGGATACCCTGTTCATGTTATCAGCTGCACAGATTGAGCACTAATAAAGACGTGCTTTGTCCCTTAGCCGTCTGTAGCCCAAGGAGGCACCTTGTGCTCATCCACTCTTGTGAACTCCTTGAGGACAGAGGAGCATTTGGTCTCCAGGGCCTGCCTCCTAGTGGTTTTGGAAGAAGAAAGGAATAAGTGACATTCACAAGGTTTAACCAGGCAAATCTAGATAGATGCATATTGGTGACACATTTTTGGGGGGAGGGATGGGGGGAGTACTTTTTGTATTTGAAACATTTTAAAAAGCAGATGCTGGTATACATTATTAGACAAAATAAAGTCAGAAGGAAGTAATGTTGAAGAAGTTGAGACACTGAAGGGGCAGAACTGATGTTCTCTGATGTAAGAAGTATCAGAGGGGTGGGGGTTGAGTCCTGACTATGTCACTTAACTGCTCTGTGTGAACTTGGGAAGTCATTTCACCTCCAAGCCTCATTCCTCATCTGCTAGGAATGGATTCTGACCTTTCTTCCTTCCAAGACTATTGTGGAGATTAAATGAAACAGTGTATGGGGTGCCTGCCTGGGTGACTCAGTCAGTCAAAAGTCCGACTTTGGCCCAAGTCATGATCTCACAGTTTGTGAGTTCGAGCCCTGCATCAGGCTCTGTGCTGACAGCTTGGAACCTGGAGCCTGCTTTGGATTCTATGTCCTCGTCTCTCTCTGCCCCTCCCCTGCTTGTTCTCTCTCTCTCTCTCTCTCTCTCTCTCTCTCTAAAATAAACATAAAATTTTTTTTTAAGGAAATAGTGTATGTGAAGCTGCCTAGCATAGTGTCTCTGCAGTTCTTGGTCACTGTTCGTTTCTTCCTTCCTGGTCTTTATTTACTTCACTGGATTGTGTTGCTAGGAGTACTTACTTGCTTGGGCAGCACTACTGCACATGTTCTCATGCGTTCAGAAATCCCCTGTAGCTTGCTCACTACATCTTGAACATCACATTATTGAATTTTATGGGACAGATTTTTGAGAAACCCAGGCTCAGAAAGGTAGGTAGCATGTCACACTGATTGATTAAAAGCCAACCTGGGAATAAAACACATGCCTCAGGATTCTCAGTGCTTTCCACCATGCCAAGGCTATCGGTGATGCTTTCTGCTTTTGTGATGGGTGTGGACGTGTATATGACCTGGTTTCATATTAACTTCTAAATTACAAGTCTTTGGGAAGATATCTTGTAAAGTAAAGCCTCAAGTAATTTTGCGGTGGGTAAACTCCGTTCATATAATAAGCCATCATTATGAAAGGTGACTTTTGAGTAGATTACCATACCCTTGGGGCAGAGTTGCCTGTGACTGATTAATGACTTCAGAATAATTGTACGGTTGTCAGGAAATTACAGAAGTTTTTTTTTTTTTTTTTAATGTTTATTTTTGAGAAGGAGAGACACAGAGCGCAAGTGGAGGGCAGAGAGAGGGAGACAGAATCTGAAGCAGGCTCTGAGCTGTCAGCACAGAACCCAGTGTGGGGCTTGAATCCATGAACTGCGAGATCATGACCTGAGCTGAAGTCAGACGCTTAACCGACTGAGCTACCCAGGCACCCCAGGAAATTGTAGAAGTTTGAATGGTACTGTCCTTTCGTGTTGTAATTTTAAATGTGGTGAATCACATTTTTTGGCAAATTTAATTCCCTCTCCCCTTTTCTCTATTTAAAATTCTATATTACATACAATATTAAATTTTGAGGACTAGCTAGGAAATTTCATATTCTAGGATTTTCATATTCTAGGAAAATTAAAGTTCTGGATTTTTGGGGGGCATTTATCCATCTGCTTATAGACATTTGCACTGTTTCATTTCTGGTGACTCCTTTCCCTGTCTGTTTTGTAAGAGGCACAAGGCAGGCCATTTGGGCATGGCAGGGCATTTAAAACGATCATCCCCAGGGCACCTGGGTGGCCAGGTTGAGCATCCAACATCACTTAGGTCCATGATCTTGTGGGGTTGGGGGTGGGGAGGGGTTTGTAAGTTTGAGCCCCGCATGGTGCTTGCTGCTCTCAGCCTGATCAGGGCAGAGCTTGCTTCGGATCCTCTGTCCCCTTCTCTCGCAGCCCTTCCCTGGCTTGTGCTCATTCTCTCTCTCTCTCAAAACAAAACAAAACAAAACAAAAAAACGATCCTCTTGCCATACAAAGAACACAAAAATCAAGAACAAAGCAAAGAACAATAGTCCAGTAGAAAAAATAGGGACTTTATGTAAAAGGATGACGCATGGGCTCTGAACCATGAGGTGAACAGTTCATGTGCAAATTCCGGATTGTATTGGCTTCAGGCCCTGACTCAGCTACTTCCTGGGTTGGGCAAAATCTTAAAATCTCTTTGCTTCCATTTCCTTGTCTGTAAAGTGAGGATTATATGAATTAATAGATGTAAAATATTAAGAACAGTACTTGGCATGTAGTGCTCAAGAAATGTCAGTTATTATTATTGCTGTTATTGTGATTATTTTTTTTAAATGATGCCCAGCTTCACTCATCATAAGAGAGAATCAAGTTTAAAGAAAACTTAGACACCATGATAATCCGCTGTTGTGGTAAGGATGTGGGTAACCAGGTGCTGCCATGCATTGTGGGTTATTTCAGTAGAGGACAATTTGAAATAGCTGTTAAAGGTAAAATAGCAATTAGATGTTGACCCAGCAGTTCCGTTTTTAGGAGTTTTTCTTATAGATGTGTGTATTAAAAAAAAAAGATATGTATTAAAAAATAGTATGTGTAGACAATAATTGCAGTATTGTTTATGTTAGGAAAAGACTAGCAGTGACTTAAATAGTCTCTCAGTAGAAGCAGGTAAATTGTTAACTTGATATAATGGAATATTATATAGTACCATTGAAAAGAAATAAAATGTCTACATATGCTCATATCGAATGGTTTCCAAGATGTACTGTTAAGAAGGGAAAAAAAGACTTCTACACATACATACATATAATGATTTTGTAAGCATACACTATCCCTGGAAGGTATTAGAAACAATTGTTAACAGTAGGGCCTAACTCTTAAGGCCTTTGAGGAGGGGGTCAGAGAGGGATGATAGGGAAACTTACTTTCCTTTACCTCTTGGTACCAGTTGAAACACATTTTTTCGGGGCGCCTGGGTGGCACAGTCGGTTAAGCGTTCGACTTCAGCCAGGTCACAATCTCGCGGTCCGTGAGTTCGAGCCCCGCGTCAGGCTCTGGGCTGATGGCTCAGAGCCTGGAGCCTGTTTCCGATTCTGTGTCTCCCTCTCTCTCTGCCCCTCCCCCGTTCACGCTCTGTCTGTCTCTGTTGCAAAAATAAACGTTGAAAAAAAAATAAAAAAAATAAACAAACACATTTTTTCAACATGCTTATTAGTTTTTGTAAAAAAATTTATTTATTTTGAGAGAGAGAGCTGGGGAGGGGCAGAGAGAGAGAGAGAGAGAAAGAGAGAGAATCCCAAGCACACTCCCAGCTATCAGTGTGGAGCCCAACATGGAGCTTGAACCCATGAACCATGAGATCATGATCCTAGCCCAAATCAAGAATCAGACGCTCAACCGAGTCACCAAGGCACCCCTATGTATTTATTTTTTGCCCTTCCCCAAATCTTTTACCTGTTCCCACCAGCATGTGCATGCTCACACACATGCACACACACACACACTTTTCAGAACATTCAAATGTTCCAGGAGTCTGGCTCTGTAATGGTGGGGTTTGGCCTGTCCTGATCGTGTTTAATGCTTATTGAATATGTGTGTGTGACTCTTGGGGCTTAGCAGTTATCTGGTCCTTGTCATCCAAGTTGGTGCTGATGTGAAAAATCTCCCTGGATGGTGGAAACTGAGGCTTTGGCTAAGTATACCTAAGCCCCATAGGCTCTGTCTCTAGGTGCTATCAGAGGTGCTAGAGCCTGGAACGCCTTGGTCTTGAGCCTGGTTCTCTTGGCTATTTTTAGAGGTCTGAGAAGAGAGTGAATAGGAAGGAACTTCAAGAGTTCTGTACCTCATTAGGAAACCCTGGTTGTATTTATAAACTGTTTGGTTCTATTTCAGTTTCCAGAGGTGAGAGCCAGAATGGAAACTCACTTGGCATGGTAGGGTTTTGTGACTGTGCCCCTCCCTGGAATTTCTAGAAGTACTTTTTAACCCTAGAAGAAGTTGGGGCCATGACCAGGATTCTTTGTGTAAAACTCCTTAAACAGGTCAAGTTTAGAATTTTATGGAAACGTATATAATATATGTCTACTTTTTATAGGATACTATTTAAGCTAATTGCTACTTGCATGAAGGCTGTAGTCATTAGTTCGAACACCAAGATTAGGGTGAATTGTCTTCCCTTGTTCATATAATAACTTTTTTCAATGTGAAATACAATCTGTAATTATGTAGAAAATGTAATCATAGAAATTAGGATCAGAATATAATACTTATGTTTCATTCAGTATATCTTAGTCTAGTGCTTCTTAATATATTTGCCACTCTAGACTTAGTGAGGGATGTCCCATTCCCATCATTAAACAGTGGCTTTGTGTGGCAGTGATTTTCTACAAGAGATGGGGGTCTTTGAGTGTAACCTGGGGGTGGTGGTGGGAGAGTGGGGAGGTAGAGGTAACGATTCTGATTTGTAGAACATTCACGGTACACACACACTTTCCCTCTCCCTCTCTCTCAGGCAAGAATTCACCGTCTTAGACAAACTAGTATTGTAACCTTTATCTCAATATTCTAAGGAAAAAAATCCTGATGAGAGACCCTGGTTCTATCCAGTTAGCATGGTTTCTCTCCATTATTTGCTGTCTGGTTGCAAATAAGCATGTATGTAACAGATAAACACCGACTTTAAGTGGGCAAGACAAACAGCTGGTTCTAGCAAGTTGTACCTGTCATTGCAGGGAAGGGCCCAGGTTTGACCGTGGAGGAAGGATTGGACAGGTTGCTGGGGAAAGTGAGTGATCCATTCAACCAGAGGTAACTGTTTCTTTTGGAATTAGCTTTTATTTCCTTTTATTAACAGTGTCTTTTTTTTTTTTTTTAAGTTAGCATAGTGGTTGATTTTCCCTTGGTATTCTTTTTGTCGTAGCAGAGATGTCAGCTTATTTATAGGAATTACTTGAAGTCAGAGTCATGGTGGATGTAGGAAAGTGGCCAATCTTCACTCTGCTCTCACCTCAAGAAATTGCATCTATTCGGAAAGCATGTGTCTTTGGCACCTCAGCCAATGAAGCACTGTACGTTACTGACAATGATGAGGTAAGAATCTCTCAAAACCCAGAGTGTAATTTTAGGGGGTGAGCTTTAAAATGTGCAGTTTGGGGGCGCCTGGGTGGCGCAGTCGGTTAAGCGTCTGACTTCAGCCAGGTCACGATCTCGCGGTCCGTGAGTTCGAGCCACGCGTCGGGCTCTGGGCTGATGGCTCAGAGCCTGGAGCCTGTTTCCGATTCTGTGTCTCCCTCTCTCTCTGCCCCTCGCCCGTTCATGCTCTGTCTCTCTCTGTCCCAAAAATAAATAAACGTTGAAAAAAAAAAATGTGCAGTTTGAAGACCAAGAAAAGGTTGTGGCCAGTTGATCTTTCCAAAATGCAAGCTTACTCATATCGGTCTCTGTTTTGAAATATTTTCAGTGGAAGATCCATAGACACATTCATTTCACTTTCCCTGGTATGTTTTTTTGGTTCTTTATTCCCTTAGCCCTTACCTTTCCCACCAGTCTTTCTCCTACCAGTATCCTAGATGTATCCAGCAAGGCCCCCCTCCTTGTCTTCTGAAAAGGTTGTGGATAAAAGAACCTGAAATTCTAGAAGACCGTGTCTTTGATGTAATTTCTCTCTTCTTGCAGTTTCTTGATTTGATACCCCTCAACCCTGTACTAGTCTGAATTTCATAGTACAGCCAAACATTCTGCAACTGAAGTAATGTCAGCACAGGTTGAATTTTTCTTCATCTGATCAGTCTCTTTCTACCTACTGAGCTGTCACACTGAACTTGAGTGTGTCTTATTTTCAGGGTGGAGAGGGGAGCCTTTGTATAACTTTAGTACGAGTGATTCAGACAAAACTATTTGTTTTCTAGGTCTTTGTATTTGGACTGAACTATAGTAACTGTCTAGGAACTGGAGATAACCAGAGTACACTTGTACCCAAAAAGCTGGAAGCCTTATGTGGAAAGAAGATTAAAAGCCTTAGTTATGGGAGTGGACCACATGTTCTTCTCAGCACTGAAGGTAAAGAGGGAACAAAGTCAGCTTTTCAGTTTGTGAGAAATCAAGTATTGATTCTAAGCTAAGGGGAGATGGGGCCGTTTGAAATAATCTTGAATGGTTTATTTCTTAATTTCTGAGAACTGTACCAAACTGGTAAAAGTTAAACATTTCAGTCTAACTCTGGAACAGAGTACGGTTTGCAAATTAGGCAAACATTAGAATACTTACGTAAAGTTGTGGAAGATTAGATACAGCAGATGAAGTGGGCCTTCAGCCTAGTTTTTCACTGGTTTTATATTAGCAAGGGCAACTTTCAGGTTTTACTTGGTACATTTTTATAAAGACAACATAATGCTGATTTCCCTTTCAGTGTGTAGTTTCTGAACCTCAAATTTAAGAAATCTTAGTTTATTCCCTGACATTCATGTGTGTGCCATATGGAAAGAATGTAGGATAGATTCTTTTCCTTTTAATCTCTGCTTCCCCAAGATTAAGACTATACATTTCTTCTTTGGTAATTTATCCCCACTGTGGGCAACCAAAACTCTCTGAAAATAGGTTATTATATATAACCTATATCTTCCCTTTGAATTTTAAACGTGCTTAAAATTCACATTAACTCTTGTGGTCTCTCTAGCAGAGGCCCTCTGCTTTCTGTGGGGAAGTTTTCTGTTTGTTTCTCTGCTGGTCTCCAGACTGAGGAATCACAGCTTTCACAGCTTCCTCGGGTGTTGCCAGAGGTCTTAGTATTGAGCTTTTTAATTACCTCTAACTCCTATCTGAATGCACTCCAAGTTGTCTGGATCTGTCTCAAGCTGTGAGATCCAGATCTGAGAGTGATTGTCTAGTGAGAATATAACTGGTATTGAGCATAATGAGGTGATGATCTCACTTCCGTGTTGTGTAACCATGCTTTCTGGCATCACACTGGCTCTTTCAAGCGGTTACTACTTTGCTGACTGGTTCTGCTTGTCATCTGTTATGACCTAATGATTTGATTTTTTTCCTAACAAATATCAATCTTAACTAGTCATTGATTTCTGACTGTAAAAAACTGGGGCAGTTTTTTAGAGCAAACACACTAAAACATATGCATTTAAATTCTTGGTTTTCTACAAAGTGGTGACCTTAGGAAATTACAACTCTTGGAATTATTTTCAGAGTCAGAGCATACATACAGAGTTAACCATCTTGAGTGTTACAATAAAGATAAGCATACATAAACATAACATAAAAATATAAATATAATAACTGATTTTCTTGTGGGAATACTTTTCTTTTTTGTTAATTTTGATATGCCACTTACATATTTTAAACATGCTCTACATTCAGATGTATAGTACATATATTGTGCATGTTATATAGTCAAATAGTTTTAATTTGACTATATAGTCAAATAGTTGTAAAACAAATGAACACTTTAAACCATCAAATATTTTATGGCTTTTAGTAAAACGCAGAAGGACCTCTGCCTCACCCCTCTTCAGCTTAGAAACTGTTCTTCAGAAGGAACCACTTTTAACTCCTTCAGATGTTTAATCTCGTATTTTTAACATGCTTACAACTGTTCTTTCTGAATTTTCAATTTTAGATATTATCCTTCCACTTTTTATAATGGCAGATAGCAGTTGGCTTTATTTCCCCTTCCTTCCTTCCCCTGATCCTTTCAATATAGTGATATCACCATTTTAGTTAAATCGATATTTACATTAGTAGGACTCTGTAAGTGTGGTTTATAGCTGAACCATCGCCTTTCTGTACCACTGTTTGTTTTCCTGAGGTTCATTCACCCGTTTTTCTAAATGTCTGTCATTATGTGCAAACTGGTCTATACAGCAGTGTTGTGTCTCAGCACTTCTGAGCTCATCCAGATATCTCTGGAGCCCTCCGTCCCTGTGTTCCAGCCTGCCGCACGGCCGTCAGCCTAGAACTTCATTCACCATCATCGTGAACTTTGTCCTTTCTGGATGCCCTATTTCTTGTGTCCTGTGTCTTCCTCCTGGGATTATACCTTTATTTGAGTGAAACACTTTCTCTAGTAGCTTCCCAAGGAAGAGAGTGAGAGAAATCTTTGAGACGCTCTTAAAATGTCTTTATTTTATTCACGCAGATTGCCCATTGGTTTGGCTGGGCTTAAAATTCCTGATTGAAAATCCTATTTCCTCAGAATTTTGAAGTTATTGTGCCTCTTGAGTTTCAGGTTTCTTTTGAGATTCTGATGCCATTCTGACTTTAGCTGGGGTTTTTTGTTTATTTTTTGTTTTCTTGATTTTTTAAAATGTTTTTATTTATTTTTGAGACGGAGACAGAGCAGGGGAGGGGCAGAGAGAGGGGGAGACACAGAATCTGAAACAGGCTTCAGGCTCTGAGCTGTCAGCACAGAGCCCGACACGGGGCTCGAACTCACGGACTATGAGATCATGACCTGAGCTAAAGTCGGACGCTTACCGACTAAGCCACCCAGACGCCCCCACTTTAGCTGTTTTTGCATATGACTGTTTTTTCCTCTTTGGAAGCTTTAGAGATCTTTTCTTTGTTCCCAGTTTTCTGAAAAAATCATGGTTATGTACTCATGTAGATGATTTTTAATTTATTGTATTGATCATTCTGTTGACTTTCAGTCTGGAAATTCCTTCATTTCTCTAGAATATTTTCTTGTCATATTTCATGGGTAATTCCCCTTCTTTGTTTTCTCTGTTGTCTTCTTGGAATTTTTCTTAGAAGGAAGTTAGAGGATTCTGAACTGACCCTCTTAACTTACTTTTATTTTTGCTCCAATCTACTTTTTGGGAAATTTCTTCAGCTTTATCTTATACCTCTTCTCTCACATGTTCACATTTCTGCTGTTACATTCCCCCATTCTCTTTTTTGTTCTCTGAATGTGCCTTTCTAGAGCTTCGTGTCCTGCTTCATGGCCTCACTACATTCTCTGAGCTGGTATAGGTTACTTTCAAGTCATCCTCTGCTCTCTGCTTCCTTTTTTCCTCCCAGATTGCTTCTTTTTTGCTTTGGGCTCTGACTTTTCTTGTTAGAGGCTTTCTTTACGGGGCACTTAGTCAGGTGTCCAACTTGGGCTCAGGTCATGATCTCACGATTTGTGGGTTCTATCCCCACATTGGGCTCTGTGCTGACAGCTCAGAGCCTGGAGCCTGCTTCACATTCTGTCTGTCTGTCTGTTTGTCTGTCTCTCTCTCTGCCCCTTCCTCACTTGCACTCCCTCTCTCTCTTTCTCTCAAAAGTAAATAAACATTAAAAAAAAAAAAAAACCAAAAATTTGTGATCCTTGGTGGGCTGTCCACAGGTGGGACACAGGCCCTGATCTACATGCTGGGAATACTGGATTCATGGGTGGGGCTTGTCAAGCACTGAGTTTCACTTTAGGGAGATAATAACTGCTGCATTAGGGATGCTTCCAGTGTCACTCCCAATGTCAGTATATGAGCTTCCGTAGGGTGGAATCTTCCAGATTCCGGACCTGGATATGGGTTTTTTTTTTTTTTGCCAGCTTTCCATTAGCAGAGGAAGGGCAAGGATCTATCTCACTGTTCGGTACTGGACTTCCACTTCTGCTTTCCTCACTACAGTGCCTCACAGCTGTCTTCAGGGCTTCTTTAGATTATTCTCCTATCTCTTTTTTTTTTTTTTTTTTTGTCGTATTATGTGGGAGAAGGGAGGGAAGGAGGTTTGGGCAGAGGGAGAAGTTGGGCTGTAGTACAGTTACAGTAAGAAATTCACAGCTAGTAAGTGCTGTAGGCCTCTTGTCTTGTACAAGCTTCCTGACCCCACAGGAAGAGGATGAGGATTTGGGGTCTGACTGCTTCTGTTCTTAGTTACACTGGCCCTTAAATCATTTCCTTGTTGCCTACTTTCTCCAGTCCCTGGGCCTTCCCGAGATTCCAGGGCTGTGACTGGCTTCTTCTTTTGCAGATGTACGTGTCACCTTCTCTGGTTGGCTGTGTTACCACACCCACCTGCTTCCTATCTTCCAAAATTTTGTTGACCTCTCTCCAGTTGCATTTTCTTCTTTATTCTCTCTTTTTTTTAACCTTTTAATGTTTTATTTATTCTTGAGAGAGAGAGAGACACAGAGCATGAGTGAGGGAGGGGTAGAGAGAGAGGGAGACACAGAATCCGAAGCAGGCTCCAGGCTCCGAGCTGTCAGCACAGAGCCTGACGCGGGGCTCAAACTCACAAGCAGTGTGAGATCATGACCTGAGCTGAAGTCGGACACTTAACCGACTGAGCCACCCAGGCACCCCCCTTCTTTATTGTTCTTTTTGTCCTCAACTGTCTATGCCTTTTTTTTTCCCCCTTCACTATCGTTTCAGTAGGATTTGGGGACAGAATAAATTCAATTCTCCATGCTTTACTGACTTGTGAGCTATTTCTAAAAGACATTTTAGGAATGTTTTGATCAATACTACATTATTACATTGAAAATCTAGGATGTGAGAGCAATCTGGCTGTGACGTCTGTCACTGCATTGATTGCCAGAGTTGATACGGCTTATCTGGCTGGGTAGGCGGGCGTCCCCTTTTTCCCTTACCTGCTCCATGTGTGTGTCCCTCCCAAAGCTGGCACTTGGTGGAAGAGGACGACCTTCCCCGATGGAGGAGGTCCTTTCTTCAGTCAAGGGTATGCAGGTAGCTGTGCTCCCCTGCTAGAGCCTCCAGACAAGCTCTCAAGGTCCATTTGTAGGAGAACGTAGGGTAGTCAGGCTTCCAAGACTCCAGACATACCCAGATGAGGCGCTGCATGAGGCACCTTTAAAAAAAAAAAATCTACTCCCATCTGGTGACTACTCTGAAGATCTATATTCACTTAGTATTATTGCTTTACATACAGACCTAGGGCTTGAGGATTTTTTTGTCTTTTAAAGTAAGTTAAATTAGGTTACCTATAAAATTAGTTGTTTCTGATCACTTCTCCAATCCGTGTCCGGTCTCTGAAGGCCAGCTGCGTTCTCTTGAAGGCCAGAACCTCATGGGGTGCTTCTCTGTGCTGTCCCTTTCCCATGCTCTCCCCACTCCCCACTCTCCCTTCTAGCCTGGTATGGTTTCACTCTCATTGTTTGGTCATTTTGTTCACCTCTTGAACCTCAAGTGATCCTGAAGCTTCATCCCTTGTTTGTCAGAGATGGTGTGGCAAGAGTAGGGCTAGGCAAAGTGGGTGCTGGTGCCCAGTTGAATGGGGTTGCTTTGAAAGCTTCCCCGGGAAATTGGAACTAAGAGCCATCTCAAGAAGCTCACTTTTCCTATGCTTTATCAAGTGAAAAGGGAAGAAATATGTTCATACACTATTTTAAAATAGTAAACTGATATATTGAAGGTGATTGCCAGGTGCAAATCTGGAGAGGACTGATGGCTGAGAACAAGCAGCTGGCAGCAGTCCCAGCATCTGGGGAATAAGGTCCTTGATCCTGAGGGTCATCTGGGTGACCCTGCACAACGTTCACTCATTCTCTCCCCTGCAGTGCTCAGATCCATGGCTTCCTGTATGTTTGGGGTGTAGCTCCTCCAGGATTCTAGTGGGCCTCTTTTCCTAGGAAAGACTTCCTGGAAGACTGTTAGTGGGATGAATTACAGCCTCTGTGCTGCATGCAGCTGGTCTCATGGCCACAACTAATACTCATTGCCTCCCTCCTCCAGCACTCCTTTTAGATTCTCTTCACATTTGGCTAGCATGTGGCTCAGGGGGCTAATCTGAGTGTGTGATCCAGACTCTCATCCTTGAGGGTTACAGGCCCTTAACCATGCTGTACTCTGGCCATGGCTGCTGTACATTTCTGTTTACCAGTACTGTTGGGCAAATGTGCACCAAAAGCACCAAGTTTCACCTCCTTGCCAAGCATATTCCTCTCTTGCCTCCATTATATAATAGCAGTTCTACCTCTTTCTGCCAACTAGGTCAGTTGCCCCTGTCAGGAAGGGACTCCTCTTTTTTCCTGTTGGTTCTTTGACTGAGGGAAAGAACAGTCAGGCCCCTACAGAGGGCCTATGGCAGCCGTAACTTAAAGTTCAGTGGGATTCCTGCTGTGTTCCTAGTGGAAGTGTTTCTGCTTAGGGAACCAGGACTTCTAAACCTATAGAACCTACAATTGCAGGGGCAGGAAGCTCAGATTCCCCAAGTCGGTTGCTGGGAATGTTGGTCAGTTGGGTCACTCATATAATCCACTTTGGTTCCTGGATGCATGTATTCCACCTGTTAGGGACACAGCACCACGTAGTGGTCACTGAGTTAGAATCTGTGCCTGGAGCTTAGCATCCCATCCTCACACCATCTCATCTCCAGGCTGACGCATCAGCTGTGCCTTCAGCCAGCTTGTCATTGTTGTGTCAAGCTGACATCTTTTAGATGTTACAGTGTATGATATAGGACCAGGAACCCCATGGCCATGTGAGCACTGCTACATCTCTTTTGCTAATAAAGTGGATCCCTTGGTCTGAGGAGATATTTTGTGGAATCAAATACTCTGTGGATTAAATACCTCATATTGTTGTGCTAGCTGAGGCCTTGTGGGCAGGAAACATGTACCCCGGTTATATGTTGATTTCTGTTAATGTGAACAGCTGCTCTTTCCAGGATGAAACGGTCTGCTGGAGTCACCTTGATACCAAATACCTAGTTAGTTTCTGTAAAAGGGCGATTTTTTGTTGTTTTGTTTTTGCATTGTTTTTTTTTTTAATGGCACAGCAGGCATTTGGCGATGGTAGTAGCCGGGTTGAGTAGGAGTCCCTTCTTCTGAATTTGCATTTTCTTCCTAGGAGTGAAGTTGAGTGTCTTTTCATGTGGTTGAGTCATTCACATTTTTTTCCATTGTGCACCATCATCAATTCATATTTCTAGCAGGTTCTTGGTCTTTTTCTTTTGTACTTTTAAAAGCTCTTTTTGTAATAGAGATATTGTCTCTTAGTAATAATAAAGTAGAAATATTTCTCTTAATATTTAATTTTTTTCTTTGCCCATGTGTTTTCTATGTAAAGTTTAGAAAATATGTAGCTAGATTTATCACTCCTTTTGTTGCTTCTGATTTTGAATCATAGGAAAGTTTTCCCTATGCCCAGGTTATGGAGGAATTGACTAATTTTTTTCCTCCTAATTCTTATATGGTTTTATTTTCCACATTTAAATTTTTTTAATGTTTATTTATTTTATTATTATTATTATTTTTTAATGTTTATTTATTTTTGAGACAGAGAAAGACAGAGCATGAACAGGGGAGGGTCAGAGAGAGGGAGACACAGAATCTGAAGCAGGCTCCAGGCTCGGAGCTGTCAGCACAGAGCCCGACGCGGGACTCAAACCCACGGACCGTGAGATCATGACCCAGCTGAAGTCAGATGCTTAACTGACTGAGCTACCCAGGCGCCCCTAATGTTTATTTAATTTTGACAGAGAGAGAGAGAGAGAGAGACAGACAGACAGACAGACAGAGCATGAGTGGGGGAGGGGCAGAGAGAGAGGGAGACACAGAATCAGAAGCAGGCTCCAGGCTCTGAGCAAGCTGTCAGCACAGAGCCCCACGCGGGGCTTGAACCCACAGACTGGGAGATCATGACCTGAGCCGAAGTCGGACGTTCAACCGACTGAGCCACCCAGGCGCCCCTATTTTCCACATTTAAATTTTTGACTCATTAGGAAGTTACTATGTGATGAATGAATCTAATTTTTCAATCTGACACAGGTATCTCAACCCAATTTGTAAAAAGTCCTTTCTCCCGCAAATTATACAGCTTTTTTTTTTTAACTTTATTTTTTAAAATTTACATCCAAATTAGTATATAGTGATGCAATGATTTCAGGAGTAGATTCCTTAATTCCCCTTACCCATTTAGCCCATCCCCCCTCCCACAACCCCTCCAGCAACCATCAGTTTTGTTCTCCATATTTAGGAGTCTCTTGTTTTGTCCCCCTCCCTGTTTTTATATTATTTTTGTTTCCTTTCCCTTATGTTGATCTATTTTGTCTCTTAAAGTCCTCATATGAGTGAAGTCATATGATTTTTGTCTTTGACTAATTTCACTTAGCATAATACCCTCCAGTTCCATCCATGTAGTTGCAAATGGCAAGATTTCATTCTTTTTGATTACTGAGTAATACTCCATTGTGTATATATATATATACCATATCTTCTTTATCCATTCATCCATCGATGGACATTTGGGCTCTTTCCATACTTTGGCTATTGTTGATAGTGCTGCTATAAACATGGGGGTGTCCCTTCGAAACAGCACACCTGTATCCCTTGGATGAATGCCTAGTAGTGCAGTTGCTGGGTCGTAGGATAGTTCTGTTTTTAGTTTTTTGAGGAACCTCCATACTGTTTTCCAGAGTGGCTGCACCAGCTTGCATTCCCACCAACGATGCAAAAGAGATCCTCTTTCTCAGCATCCTTGCCAACATCTTTTGTTGCCTGAGTTGTTCATGTTAGCCATTCTGACAGGTGTGAGGTGGTATCTCATTGTGGTTTCGATTTGTATTTCCCTGATGATGAGTGATGTTGAGCATTTTTCATGTGTCAGTTGGCCATCTGGATGTCGTCTTTGGAGAAGTGTCTCTTCACCAAATGACATAGCTTTCATTTCTTTATGCAATTGGTTTATTTCTAGAACTTCAGTTTCATTCCACTGGTTTTTCTGTCTTTGACCTAGTATTAATTTTAGTTTTAGGCATTTTTTATAGGTTTTAATAACTGGTAGAGCTGTCTTCTTGCTTCTTTTCTTGGAGTTTTTCTATTCTCATTTGTTCTTCCCAATGAACTTTCTAATCAGTTTGTTTAGCTCCAAAAAGTAACTTATCATTTCATTCCTTTTATTTTAAATTTACCAATTTACAGAGGAAAAACTAGTACCTTTATGATACTGAGTTTTATTATCCGAGAACAAGGTATGTATTTCTATTTGTTCAAGTCTATTTTTCTGTCTCTTAGGAATGAAAACACTCATAGGTTTGGACATTTCTATCGCCTGATATAACTTTACCGTGATATTGTGGATCTTCTTTAGGTATTACACTTTTTCAATCTATGGCCTCATCCTTCTTAGGATGAAATTTCCCATTTATGGTTTCTGTCTTAATTTCTGTAATAGGGAAGACCTCTTGTGAGCCACACATAATCAAATTCTAGATTAGATAATCAGAAACCTACTTAATTATGAGTACCTTTCCCCTGGTTGCTCAGGGACCATTTCAGTGAGTTAGCAGCCTCATGGTAACACTTGGATTCCTGCTCTTGCTCTCAGATACCATTATTTCCAGGTCTAGATTGTCCTTAACAGGTCAGGATGTTTTACTACCATGGGAAAGACATGAAAAGAGTGTATAACTTGAGGGTATCTACTCTTGATACTTAGGCATGCTATGTGAGGAAATGCATGAAACATTGGTACTTCTACAGAGGACACAAAACCGAAAAGTTACTTCTGTCAGAATCCCAAAAAGATAAAGTCATTAGAGAGAAATTGAGCCAGATTTGATGCCAGTAATAGTCTGTTTGAGAGAAGCTTTTGGATTTTTGTATGTAGTATATACAAAAAGTATACCTCTTTTCCTCTGTACTTTGTGAGGGAGAGTCTCTCTCACTCTCTCACAGACACACGAACGGTTCCCTGATTTTTGGCAAAATGATAGTTAAGATTAGTGTTAAGCTTTCTTATGTCTTCTACTTTTTGCTTGGTACCTGACACAGAAACCACTGAGATGAATCAGTGTGTTCAGGAAGTCTAATTTTTGTATATATAAACTGACTTTTGACCATAAAGCTGATCTTATTTCTTTGCTTGTATTAAGTCCTTGCTTGAATGATTTTACATTTGTCTATCCTGTTTTCTCATTTGTCCTTCTTTCCTTTACCCCTCATCAGTGGTTACTCTATAGGGAGAAGGAGGCAATGGAAGGAAACGAAGGTTGGAGAATGAGTTGTGTAAAGTCTGGGAAAGAAAGTACAGGGGTTACCATTCCTTCCTGAGTTGATTCTTTGTGTGTGGCCGTCTTGTATAGATGGAGTTGTTTATGCCTGGGGCCACAATGGATATAGCCAGCTTGGGAATGGGACGACCAACCAAGGCATTGCTCCCATCCAAGTCTGTACCAATCTCTTGATCAAGCAAGTGGTTGAAGTAGCTTGTGGCTCACATCATTCAATGGCTCTGGCAGCTGATGGAGAGGTAAGTGCCCTGCTTTTATTCTTTTTTTTTTTTAAACATTTATTCATTTTTTGATAGAGACAGAGAGTGAGTGAAGGAGGGGCAGAGAGAGAGGGAGACACAGAATCTGAAGCAGGCTCCCGGCTCTGAGCTATCAGCATAGAGCCCGACGCGGGGCTCGAACTCCCGGACCGCGAGATCGTGACCTGGCTGAAGTCGGACGCTTAACCGACTGAGCCACCCAGGCGCCCCTATTCTTTATTTTTAAATTGTGGTAAAATACACATAATATAAAATTTGCTGTCCTAGCCATTTTTAAGAATTGTGGAAACCAGACCTCAGGATTTGTGAGGACTGCTTTCTGCAGTGGCTTTGTCATCTGCCTGGATTATTGCCATGGTCTCTTTAACCACTTAAATGGTTAGGATGGCAAATTATATATGTATATATTTTTATATCCATTGTGATTTATCGAATGTCAGTTCAGTAACATTAAGTACATTGTTATGTAGCCCTCACCACCAGCCATCTTCAGAACTCTTTATTTTGCAAAGCTGAAGCTGTACCTCCTGAATGGTGACTCTCCACTCCCAGCACCTGTGACCACCGTTCTGTCTTCTGTCTCCATGAGTGACTACTCTAGGGACTTCATATGAGTGGAATCATACAGTGTTCGTGTGGTTATGACTGCCTTATTTCACTGGGCATAATGTCCTCAGGGTTCATGCATGTTGTAGCACGTGACAGAACTTCCTTCATTCTTAAGACTGAATAATATCCCATTGTGTGTATATGCCATATTTGTTTGTTCATCTGTTGGGTATTTGGGTTGTTACCAACTTCTGGCTATTGTGAAAGTGCCTTTTAAAAAAATAAAATCATGACCATATTTGTATTTGGTATAGTGTAAACATAGCAGCCCTGTGCACAGCTAAAAACATGTGGGGACACACTCTTTTTCTGTGTGATCAGGACCACTCTTTTGATAACAGATTTCAGCCTCAAGGCAGTTGAGTCCCCTGCTCTTCGCTAAGACGACAAATCAGATGTGTATGACAGTGTTCTGTACTTTTGTTTTTTTTAATGACCCCCATCAGTTAAGGTCTGTTTTGTTTTCAGTAATAGTAATGATGTCATAGAAAATAACTTTACCAACATTCCAGTAGGTGCTGTACCCCACCAAGTTAAGGTTGCTCATCTTATTGATTCTACTTTCTAATGTTTCATCTCATTTTGTTTCTATTCATCTATGTAATCATAGGTCAGGTCTTGCTATCTGCCTGGGCTATTGCCATGGTCTCTTTTGTTCCATAGCATTTTATTTTTATTTTATTTTATTTTATATTTTAGTTCATTTCATTTCATTTATTTTTAGAGAAAGAGAGCATGAGCAGGGGAGAGGGGCAGAGGGAGAGAGAGAGAGAGAAAGAGAGAGAGAGAGAGAGAGAATGAATCTTAAGCAGCCTCCACATTTAGCATGGAGCCCAATGTGGGGCTTGATCCCATGAACCACGGGATCATGACCTGAGCCAAAATCAAGAGTTGGACGCTCAACCGACTGAGCCACCCAGGCACACCATCTGTTTTATTCCGTAGCTTTTTGATTGGTCTACCTGTCAAGTATCACCTCTGTGCCCCCTGTGATTTCTGAAACAGAGATCATACTGTTCACTTGTTTAGAATCCCTCAGTGTTGTTAACAGTGATTTTACTATGTAGGACAGGATATGGGTGAAGAAACCAGAGAAGCGGAGGGAGATAAAGGTTTCATGGCTAGGATGTGCTAGACCTACGCCTAGCACCCAGGTCTTAGGCCCTAAATCCACTGTTTGCTAGTCTGTTTTTAGTTAGTGGAACCCCAGTCCCCGTTTTTAAAATGAAAGGCAGCTGCGTTACAAGGGAGCTTGGGATATTTGAGAAGTGCCAGGAGAATGGTTAGTTAAAATTAGAATTCCCTAATTTGTACAGCCTGGATTCCTTGTTTATTTTAACTGTAAGTATATGTTACTTTGGGTAATTGTGCTAAATATTTGCATTATTATTCTAGATATTCCTGTGAATCCACTTTGAGGAAGTTTTGCAGTTATTTCTTTGTTCCTGTGAAATGAACCTATAGTGCGTATTCTTTTAAACCTCAGCTGTAGGTTTTATTATTGTCGCCTGGGGCAGTATCAGACAGGTGAGGGGAGATAGGAAGTGCGACACAAGAAAGAATCATGGAAGCCACACCTCATGAGGTGTGAGGACCACTTCCTGCAGGCAAATGAAAGGGATGGGTCCTTAGAAATTTTCCTAGTCTTGGAGGAAGTAATTGCCTGGGCTGCCAGCAGCCCCTCCCCTAATTCTCTCTGGTCACACTTTTGTTTGATAGGGTCAGTTGGTAATTAACTTGAGGTGGTTTTTTGTTTTTCATCTTTGTTACTAGATTTTAACAAGCTCAAAGCTCTATCTCTAGAATTCTGTGTTTCTAGAATTCTGGTTTTCACACTATGGCAAATCACAGGCAGGATGCATTTGAGGAGGGGAGCTGCTTAGAGCTGACAGGCAGCAAATGAGAACTGAGAGAAAATAGAACCAAGAATAACCTAACAACCTGGTGTCATCTCCATAGGGACAAACATCTCTTTAGTACTTGTGAGCCTTACCGTATTATGACAGACACGTAACTGTGATTGATAATTTTAATTGTGATGGTTGTGACTCATCAGGAAAGGTTATATAATGTTCAGTATTGGTGATTAGTGAGACAGGGAAAACGCATCTTACAATTTTGAAAGCTTTTTGTGGAGGAAAAGAAAAAAAAGAAAATCTGTGCCCAAAGAGTTAGGCACATTTTTCATATCACTGCTGCTTTGTGGTATGTACTTTATTTCCTGTTGATGGCAGATTACAAAATCATGTATGGCTGCTATAATTACAGAGGCAGTGTAGCATAGTGGTTAAGAGCACAGCTAGACCTTCTTGGGTTCGGATTCCACGTTTACTACTTATTGGTTGTAGAACCTGAAGCAAGTCACTTAACCTCTCTGTTTCTATTTCCGTATATAAAATGGGGGTGAAATAGTATCTACCTCAGGGTCACCCTACAGGATTACTATAGGAATTAAATAAGCTAACACATGGAAAGCATTTGGAGCCATGTAGCACATTGTAAATACTCATTAAGTGGGTTTATTTTTATTTCATGATTACTTATGTGCATCACAGCTAGAATTTTCACCCTAATGCTAATAATTCTTTCTTTTCCCCATGTCTTGTATAGGTATTTGCTTGGGGGTATAACAACTGTGGCCAGGTCGGATCAGGATCTACAACAAATCAACCAACTCCTCGAAAAGTTACAAACTGTTTACATATTAAGAGGGTGGTTGGCATTGCCTGTGGTCAGACCTCATCCATGGCTGTTCTGGACAATGGGGAGGTGAGCTGTCTCTGTACTCTCCCTTCTCCTCACCTCACCTGTCTCACTGAAGTACCTTTTCCTTCTTGAGCATGTATGAGACCATGGAAGGAAGAGTGCTTTGTTTCTAGAGTTTCATTGATAGTTAACTGGTTTCTGATGGAGGAATATCTGGAGGGTGTTTGCTCCTCACTGTGAATTTTCAGATGCCAAGATTGATCTGCAAGTAAGGATTCCAGTGTGTCTAAAATTTATTTTTTTTGTGAGATCCAAATAGTCTAATGTTTGTAGGTATTTGTGATTTAATGTAATAAAGAGTTTGACACTAGTTGTTTCATCCAATGAAAAAATCAAGTGTGCAGTCTTTAAAGGTAACTGATGATTTTTAAAAAGTTTACTTTTTTGAGAGAGAGAGCATCACAGGAGGGGCAAAGAGAGGGAAAGAGAATCTGAGTTTTTTCTTGTGATGAGAACTTTTAAGATTATTAGCAACTTTCAGATATGGAATACAGTATTACTAACGATAGTCATCATGCTGTACATTATGTCCCCATGACTTACTTATTTTATAACTGGAAGTCTGTACCTTTTGAGCCCTTTTACCCATTTTGTTCAACCCCCAGCCCCCACCTCTGGAAATCACCAATCCGTTCTCTGTATGTATGAGCTTGGGGTGTGTGTGTGTGTGTGTGTGTTTAATTAAAATACAGGATGCACAGTGTTCCATTAGTTTCAGTCATGTTTGTCATGCCATGTTTACCAGAGTGTTAACTGGCTTTTTTCATCAATCCTGTTGTCATCTTTGATGACTTTAGAATTTCTTGGGCTAGTCACCAGACATTCTCCATCCTGGTATTCTTTACTTGTTTATTTTTAAAAATATACTTAATTTTAAAATTATTATTATGTGGTTATTTTCACAAAGGAAAGCAAATGAAGCATGTAAAATAAAAAGCAAATACTTTTTCTCCAGTCTTGTTAATAGTTTGACGTATATCCTTTTGAACTTTTCTCTATAAAACAATTATATATGGGTGAATATAATTATCTTTTATAAAAAATGGGATTATTATAGGTACTGCTTTTTTCTGCTATTCTGCACCTTTCCTGCTTAACAACACATACGTTTACCTGAATCTATTATCAGACCATTTATAGCTGTTCTCCATTATAATGGCTCCTTACTTTTGCTTGTCTGGATCACCCACAGCCAAAACTCTACTGATGGAAATTTCAGTTCTTTCTAAATTTTTGCTGTTATAAACATTGCAGCCCTGAGTTTCTGTGTTACTGTGTGTGTGTGTGTGTGTGTGTGTGTGTGTGTATCTTTTGTACATTTATGTAAGTAGTCTATAGAATAAGTTCCCAAGAATAAGATTTCTGGGTTAGGGTGTATGCCATTAAATTTTTTGATAGCTGTAGTCAAATTTCTCTGCAGAAAGTTAAAACCTTTTGCACTTACGACATGGAAAGTGCATTTCACCGTCTCTTGCTAGTACCCTAAATTCTATATCCCTCTTTCCCCTCTGTCACATTGCTCTGAAAAACCCCATCTTTGACTCCACGAGACACCTCAGGTTTCTCGTTTGGCCAGACCTTTAGTCTGTTCCTCCTCAGTGTCCCACACTTGCTTGTTCTAAACCTTCACCACCGCTGGCAAACCTCTGTCCAGCTCGACTACTTTCAGCTGATGACGCCCCTCTCCAGATATCTAAGACATTGTGTTACGTCTTTTAACCTCTTTCCTGTCCATTCCCTCTCTCTTGGTCCCACTGTCACTGCCTTAGTTTTGACCCTTGTCTGAGCTCATTTGCTACTGAATGGCTGTCCTGCCTGTAGTCTCATCTAATCTGTTCACCTTTATGTGCCGCCAGCAGGATCTTTCCAAGTTGTGAATATTAATCTGTTTTGAAATATTTCTGTGGGAGACCCTTACATGCATTCTACTTTTCCCTCGTGTGTGTTTTGGCACTTTATCCCTTTAGCCCTTACTTTTCCTTCTAGTCTTTTTTTTTTTTTAATTTTTTTTTTTAATGTTTATTTATTTTTGGCACAGAGAGAGACAGAGCATGAACGGGGGAGGGTCAGAGAGAGGGAGACACAGAATCCGAAACAGGCTCCAGGCTCTGAACTGGCAGCACAGAGCCCGACGCGGGGCCTGAACTCACGGACCGCGGGATCATGACCTGAGCCGAAGTCGGCTGCTTAACTGACTGCGCCCCAATTCCTTCTAGTCTTTTGTCCTGCCACTGTGCTGGATGTGTCCCAGCACACCACCTCCTCATTTTCAGAACCTGCTTCCAGCACATTCTCTGCCCTCTCCTTGGAATACTTTACTCCCATTTATTGATCCTTCAGCCGTGCTCAAATCTCTGCTCTCTGAAAAGTCTTTCCTAAACTTTCTTCCTATAGCTAAGTCCTTTCTCTTCTCTGCTCCTGTAGTGCCTTGATTGTATCTCTAGAATAGCACTCGCCTCCTGGCTGCAAAAAGTTTGCATGTGTCCATCTTTCCTGTTAAACTGCGGCCAAAAACTTACTCCTAGTGCCTTTTATCATGTCCTGACATACAAAGGGTGCTTAATAATTGTTAAGCAACATCAACTTCCTCGTGTGTAAAGCAAGAATAAATGACTTGCACAAGGCTATCCAACCAATAAGGTATGGAGGAGGAACTGATGCCAAATTCTGTTATCCCCACCCCCAAAATAATCTTCCATTTGGAGATCCCCAGTAGGATCACATAGAGTAGGAATATGGGCGTTTGGAAGTGAAAACTTAGTTGATTTGTTTAGGTGGATGGCATTTTTGTATCTTCCTTCTTACTGTTTTAAAAGCCTCTTCTCTCCCTTTCTCTCTCTAAGGTGTATGGCTGGGGTTACAATGGCAATGGTCAGCTAGGCTTGGGAAACAATGGCAATCAGCTGACCCCTGTGAGAGTGGCAGCTTTGCACAGCGTGTGTGTGAACCAGGTACGTGTGGTGGACTTCACTGCTGCTCCCGTGTAGCTCCCCTGCTCCGACTCGGAGAAACACTGGACGTTTACCCTTCAGTAGATCCTTTCAGACAATGCCGCATGCCTTCATCCTTCACATTTGAAATTCTGTCTTTCCTAAATTCCCATGATGAGAAGGAACACCATGCTGGTGACACATCAGTCTTGGCAAGTAAAAAAAAAAAAAACTATTGGGGCGCCTGGGTGGCTCAGTCGGTGAAGCGTCCGGCTTCAGCTCAGGTCATGATCTCATGGTCCGTGAGTTCATGCCCCGCGTCGGGCTCTGTGCTGACCCCTCAGAGCCTGGAGCCTGTTTCAGATTCTGTGTCTCCCTCTCTCTCTGACCCTCCCCCTTCATGCTCTGTCTCTGTCTCAAAAATAAATAAACGTTAAAAAAAAAAAAATTAAAAAAAAAAAAACTATTGGAAAAGTCCAGTAGTCTCAATATTTTTGTTTTTGTTTTTTTAATGTTTTGTTTATTTTATTTTTTTAACATTTTTTTATTTATTTTGAGACAGGGAGAGACAGAGGATGAACAGGGGAGGGTCAGAGAGAGGGAGACACAGAATCTGAAACAGGCTCCAGGCTCTGAGCTGTCAGCACAGAGCCCGATGCGGGGCTCAAACTCACAGACTGCGAGATCGTGACCTGAGCCGAAGTCGGCTGCTTAACCGACTGAGCCACCCAGGTGCCCCTGTTTTGTTTATTTTAGAGAGAGAGACATAGTGTGAGCAGGGGAGGAGCAAAGAGAGAGAGAGGGAGACACAGAATCTGAAGCAGGCTCTGGGCTCTGAGCTGTCAGCAAGAGCCTGACGCAAGGCTCAAACTCACGGACCGTGAGATCACGACCTGAGCCGAAGTCAGATGCTTAAACAACTGAGTCACCCAGATGCCTCAATTTTTGGCTCTTCTAATGCTTTTTTAATGTTCCAGAGAATGTCAGTCCACACCTGATGATGAGTTGACATTCTGCAGAAGCTGGCTGTAATCTTTAAGTAGATGTTTTCCCTGCCCTTCCTGTTTTCCTGTTTATGGTAACCATTTAAATTTACTTGCAGATTGTCTGCGGCTATGCACACACTCTAGCACTAACAGATGAGGGCTTGCTCTATGCCTGGGGAGCTAACACGTATGGGCAGCTGGGAACTGGCAATAAAAATAACCTGCTAAGCCCAGCACACATCATGGTGGAGAAAGAAAGGTAACTTGGCTGTACCATGTGTCGGGACTATGTGTGTGTTTTTGGATTTGGGATTCTGTGTGCTGGAGCTATGGTGTTTGGCTTTGTCACGCTTCTGTTTATTAATATTGTCATTTTGAACAAGAGTTTGAGTAGCAGCCAGAATGGACATGTGGTTGATAGGATTCTCATGTGGCTTCCTAAAATAACCTCCTGTGATTGATAGGCATTAATGCATCTTGATATAATTCTCACATTTCCTGTGGCTCATTTAGTAGGGAAGTAAAATGGGGTCTGTCGCCATGTAGAAATTGAGTGTAGTGTAGACTTTTCCTTTGAGCCAACTAAAACAACTTTCAAATCTGCTTTTGAAAGGAGATTTTCTGTTTAAATATTGATTTGATTTAATGTGTCTCACTGGAATAGATGCTTTGTTTGTTCAGCCAAATCTTGAGGTCTTACCCAGTAAGCTTTAGAGTGTTGACTTGTGATTGCAGGACTATGCCTAAGAAGCCTACTGAGAAATGTGTTTGGCTTGATGTCCATTTGAATAAGGGTCTGTAGAGTCCATTACCCCAAGGCCATCGCTTATTTAGAGGCTGTGAGAAGTTGTGTCAAGGAGGTGGTATATTGAAGGCAGTGTTTTGTTCTTGTTTTTTTGATACTGTCTAAGCCCCCAGAACTGTCAAGACAGTTTCTCTCTGTCCACTTTCCTCATTTACTTTGGTTTCGAGTCCCTTTTTCCAAGTTTTCCCCAACAGTATGTATTATTTATCCTAATTCAGAATGAGGTCAGGATGAGAAGTGGGGTGACAAGCAAGGGAAAAACACAATACCCTTGCTGTGATCTTTTGGTTCTGTCCATATGACTTGAAGCTAATGTCCCTCAGTCCTGGGCTGTTCTTTGCAGCGTTGTAAGCATGGCCTTTTTATCTGCCTTGTGTCCTGTGCTGTAGGCTTCTGTGATAAATAAATTACATGCATTTTTCTTAAAACATTTCAGGGTAGTAGAGATTGCGGCCTGCCACTCGGCCCACACGTCGGCTGCCAAGACCCAGGGCGGGCACGTGTACATGTGGGGCCAGTGCCGGGGCCAGTCCGTGATCCTGCCTCACCTCACGCACTTCTCCTGCACCGACGACGTGTTCGCCTGCTTCGCCACTCCTGCTGTCTCTTGGCGCCTCCTGTCTGTAGGTAAGAAAGCTCAGGGCTACTTTTTTTTTTTTTTTTATGTTTATTTATTTATTTGAAAGAGAACATGTGCAGGGGTAGGGCAGAGAGAGAGAGGGAGAGAGAGAGAACCCTCTGAGAGCACAGAGCCCGATGCGGGGCTTGAACTCAGACCACGAGATCATGACCTGAGCTGAAGTCAAGAGTCAGACGCTTAACCAACTGAGCCGCCCAGGTGCCCCTTTCATTTTAATTGAGGTGAAATTTATGTTCATAAAATTCACCATTTGAGGGTGTACAATTCAGAGGCATTTAGTACGTTCATAGTGTTGTGCAGCCACCGTTTGTATCAAGTTCTGAAACATTTTCATCACTCTGAAAGAAAACCCTGTACCTGTTTTGCAGTCACTCCCCATTCTCCTTTCTCCAGCCCTGGCAATCACATACTTTGCTTTTAGTTTCTATGGATTTACCTATCCTGGATATTTCATATAAAGGAAATCAGTGTGTCACCTTTTGTGTCTAGCTTCTTTTATGTAATGTTTTTGAGGTTTAACCATGTTGTAGTATATATATTAGTACTCCATTCCTTTTTATGGCTGAATAATATTCTGTTGTATGTATAGACCGCATTTTTTTAATCCATGCATCTGTTGATGGATGTTTGGATGGTTTCCACCTTTTGGCTATTAAGAATAGTGCCATAATAAACATTTGTGTACAAATATTTGAGTAACCTGTTTTTAAGTGCTTTTGTTATACTAAATTTATTACATAATTGAATATGAACCAGAACGAACTTAAAAAAATTAAAAACTCGTAATTTATTTGTTTTCAATATATGAAGTTTATTGTCAAATTGGTTTCCATACAACACCCAGTGCTCATCCCAACAGGTGCCCTCCTCAATACCCATCACCCACCCTCCCCTCCCTCCCACCCCCCATCAACCTTCAGGTTGTTCTCAGTTTTTAAGAGTCTCTTATGCTTTGGCTCTCTTCCACTCTAACCTCTTTTTTTTTTTTTTTTTTTTTTTTTTCCTTTTTTTCCTTCCCCTCCTCCATGGGTAAAAACTCGTAATTTAAAGGGTGACATGTTAACTCCACTTTCTTTCTCACTTTATCTTTCAACCAGTCTCAAATACTTTTATTTCAGAAGGGCTCAAAAACTGAGCTATTGCAAAGGGTACTGGAATTTAGGGTGATCTTTGGTTATATAATCTGTCCCTTTTCTAAATATTGTGTTCTTCAGGTGTCCATTGATGGAAAAATGGTAAGGTGTCAGAAAGCTGAGTAGCCATTAACAAGATGGGTTTAATCTCTTTTTCTTTTATTTCTTGTTCATTTCTGCATTTTTTGCGATGTATTTCTTCTAAGTTATTCTTTGTATGCAGAGGAAATAAGTGGATCATGATGGCCCTTGTGCTTGGAAATTAATGTAGCTCTTGTCAACTGTGGGGTTTGGGTTGCTTAGCAGTTGATATTAAAGACCAGTCTTGTAGTATGTGTCATGCTCGGGTGTATTAGCCAGCTGGCTGGGGCTGTCCCATCATCAGGTGACCAGTCTTTGTGCTCACGGGGGCAAAGAGTATGTTTAGGAAGAGTTAAGCTGCTGCTCAATTTAATGTGAAATAAACATTTCCAGGTTTTATAACTGTAATACAATATTTTTTTGCAGTGAATGTTGTGATTAGAAAATATTTAATTCACAGAATGGGACTGTTTAGCCATAACTACACATAGGTATAGCATGGACAGCCAAACACTATGTACATCTTCAGATTCCCAAGTGCTACTTAACCTGGACCCGTTCATAAAAGGCTTCTCCAGGTACTTGCCTCTCAGAAGTCTAATCCTGAGAAGACATCCTTTTCAGAAGAAAAGTTGTAATATTTTTTAATGTTAAGTTTGGAAAAAATAAGATTCAGAATATCTCGTAGAGGACTTCTTACCACCTGCTAAAAGTTAGAAGGGTTTTCTCTTTCAGTTTATGATCTCAGCTGAGTGTTAGGAAGAAAGATGGTGAAATCACACCTCGGAAGAATACTTCTTCTCTAAAGGGAGTTGTTATACTTGTCAGAAACCAAAATGGGGAAAAGGGTTACTTCAACCCTTAGGACTGATGGCAGAAGTGGAGGCACCGCTCGAAGCTGTTTTGCGGACGGGTGGGGTAGCAGTCTAGGTTCCTGGACTCCTTACCCATCTGAGTCATTTCCTTTCTTCCGTTTGCCAGAGATCCAGGTTACAGGGTGAGGGGAAAGCCCGACTTTTGAGAGATTGTCCACTTTCTGCCAGAGCCAAGAGAGCTCTGTGTTGTGGGAGTTCCAGGGAGGGCTTGGGTGAATGCTATTTCCTTGGGAGGTTCTCATAATAAAGCTCAGGGATGAGCTTACTTGTTAAGTTTCAGCCTAGGTTTTAACAGGTGTCGCTCTAAGAGTAGCAGGCTGCTGAGAGACACAGCTCAGTTCTTTGATGGAGTCCCATTCTCATCTCATGGTAGAAACCTATCTCCTGTGTTGACAGCACCTGCGTTCAGTGCCAGTGACCTCTGGAATTTTCTTTGTTTTCCTGTTAGCTGCCTTTTACCGGTTTTCCTTTGTCCACACATGGCACAGGAAGGTGTTACATAATTTGTACAAGTGCCTTTACTTTTCTTCATAAGGACATAGTCCTTCTTACATATAACAGTTCTTATCAGGCAATGTGGTCATGTTTTTATAAAACTGTTCCCTTTGAGTATACATTGTTACTAAGTAAATTTGCTCTGTTTTTAGATAGCATGTAAGGATTATTTGTACATTAATATTTAGGGCTCATAGGGATGTTTAGATTCCACATACCTAGGAAAAAGGGTTTTTCTGCATAAGAACATGACTGCTTAGCATTACTACTTTACTGGTAAGTTTGTTTCTTGACGCTCCTGGAGTTGAATTTACCAACCCCTTGAAACTACCCCAAAGCAGAGCAAAGGTGTTTTCAGTGTTTCAGTCAAGGAGAATTGATAAATTCTTAGCCCTGGAAGAGAACCATTCAAGTTTTTTTCTTTTTTCTTTTTTTTTTTTTTTTAATTTTTAAATTTACATCCAAGTTACTTGGCATATAGTGCAACAATGATTTCAGTAGCTTTCAGTGATCCATCCCCTACATGTTAATACCCAGTGCTCATCCCAACAAGTGTCTTCCTTAATGCCCCTTGCCCATTTAGCTCATCCCCCAATCCACAACCCTCCAGCAAACCCTCTGTTCTCTGTATTTAAGAGTCTCTTATGTTTTATCCCACTCCCTGTTTTTGTATTACTTTTGCCTCCCTTCCCTTAATGTTCATCTGTTTTGTTTCTTAAATTCCACATGAGTGAAGTTACATGATATTTGTCTTTCTTTGACAGACTACTTTCGCTTAGCATAATACCCTCCAGTTCCATCCACGTAGTTGCAAATGACAGGATTTCATTCTTTTTGATTGTTGAGTAATACTCCATTGTATATATATACCACATCTTCTTTATCCATTCATCCGTCGATAGACATTTGGGCTTTTTCCAGTTTGGCGATGCTATAAACATTGGGAGAACCAATCAAGTTTTAAGTGAGCAGTGATACAATCATGGACTGCCTATAAATTTTTCTTTTCTTTTTTAAATACACATTTAAAAGTTTTTAAATGTTTTGTTTTTGAGAGAGAGAGAGGGAGAGATTGGGGAAGGGGCAGAGAGAGAGAGACAGAATCTGAAGCAGGCTCCCACCTCCAAGCTGGCTCTCCCCGATGTGGGGCCTGAGCTCACAAACTGTGAGATCATGACCTGAGCCAAAGTCGGACACTCAGCTGACCAAGTCACCCAGGCACCCCTAAAAAATATACATTTTTAAATGTCTAACTTCATATATAAGACTGGTAATTGGCCTTTTCAACTACATACATATTTTTTGGTAGTTTATAGACTTAAGATATGTATTTTAATATGGTGAAATTGATTTGTCAAATAAGGCACAAACTTTAAAAAAATCTGAATTATTCACCTTGCTAATGGTTATCTTTTAGAAGTCTTTTCTTATCTCTGGCACATTTCTTCAGATTTATGTACTAATAATGGGTTTGTTGCTTTCAGAGCATGAAGACTTTTTAACAGTTGCTGAATCACTGAAGAAAGAATTTGATAGTCCGGAAACTGCTGATCTGAAGTTTCGAATTGATGGGAAATATATCCATGTCCATAAAGCTGTTTTGAAAATCAGGTATTTTTGCATGAGCTTAGAGACATCGATAACCTTACTTTCTTTTTGCAGTCTCCTTTTGGCGACCGCTAAGAAATCGCCTTGGTAGTAGAAATGGCGCTACTTACTAGATTTGTGAATAGTATCCATGCATTATCTGTGTGTGTGAGTGTGCACTCATGTGCCTTTTTGAAAAAGCATAATGTGGTAGTAGAAGTATTTGTCTGTATATATATATATTTTTAATATATATATGTATATTGTATACATATAAACATATATGTATACATATATATGTGTACATATAAATATATATAATATATATATTTAATAAAATATATGTTTGTTTATTTTTGAGAGGGAGAGAGAGAGATGAAAAACACGAGAGGGAGAGGGGCAGAGAGAGAGGGAGACACAGAATCTGAAGCAGGCTCCAGGCCCTGAGCTGTCAGCACAGAGCCTGATGCGGGGCTTGAACTCATGAACTGCGAGATCATGATCTGAGCTGAAGTTGGACATTTAACCGATGGAGCCACTCAGGCTCCCTGTCTATATTGTTTTTTTTAATTTTTTTTTTTTTCAACTTTTATTTATTTTTGGGACAGAGAGAGACAGAGCATGAACGGGGGAGGGGCAGAGAGAGAGGGAGACACAGAATCGGAAACAGGCTCCAGGCTCTGAGCCATCAGCCCAGAGCCCGACGCGGGGCTCGAACCCACGGACCGCGAGATCGTGACCTGGCTGAAGTCGGACGCTTAACCGACTGCGCCACCCAGGCGCCCCTATATTGTTTTTTTAAATGAGGTTCTTAAGAATTCTTATTTCTATTGACAAATTTACTTAAGTGATTAAAAAAATACAAGAGATTAGTTAGTGAAAAGTGTGTATGTCCTCTTAAAGATTCATTGCCGCCCCGGCCCCCCCCCCCCCCAGGGACCGGCGGGGGGGGGGGTGATGGACCTCTGGCCCTGAGGGACATGTGATTCCCAATTAAAGGAATGATCTTTAGGGGCGCCTGGGTGGCTCAGTCGGTTAAGCGGCCGACTTCGGCTCAGGTCATGATCTCACAGCCCGTGAGTTCAAGCCCCACGTCGGGCTCTGTGCTGACAGCTCGGAGCCTGGAGCCTGTTTCGGATTCTGTGTCTCCCTCTCTCTGACCCTCCCCCGTTCATGCTCTGTCTCTCTCTCTCTCTCAAAAATAAATAAACGTTAAAAAAAAAAATTAAAAAAAAATAAATAAAGGAATGATCTTTAGATATAGTAAATGGTGGGAGTTATTTGTATAAATGTGAGGGAACTTTGTATTTATTAATAACAGTTTGGACTCTTGCCCCCTAAGGCTGCCATCACTGAGAAGGAGGCACATGAAGTGAGACCATAGAGTTAAACTGGTCCTTTTTGAAATGTAGTTAAAAACCTCTTTACAAAATAACACGTTTTAAGGGAACCTAAAAGCCATATATATCATTCATTACTAAGAGAGTAAATATCTGAACCAAAGGAATGAAATTATAGACTGGAAATGTTCCTTCTGGGAACCTGTGGTCAACTAATCTGTTCCTTTCATGCATAGTTTTCTGACCCATTTGTCATTCCTTGCCTAGACAACTATTTCTTTTAACTTCTCAGATGAAGTAATTTCTTATGTAGATGGAGCCATTCTTTTGGTTGTGAATGGATTTTGAAAATACTCTGTTTATTTATACCGTATCTCATTTTAAAAGGATTTGGAAAGATGATTTTTTAAAACTGAAATATGTAGAAAACCCAGTTTTAGAAATCAATTTTGCATGTAGGTGGCTTTTTACATGCAAATATAACATAAAAAGACCCACTTAGATTTTTTTAAAAATCTGTGACTTTCCTAGTGAATGTTTTTTCTGAGTAAGTTAGTAACAGACTTGGGTGTATTGGAGAGGGAGCAGGTCAAAGCAGAGTAACAAAATAGGACTGATGGCTGTTTTGGAGATGAGTCAGAAAAGGAGGAAAATTGTCATGTGAGGTAATGTGATAATCATCAGCCTAAATGTGATCCAGTTAACATTGAAAGCGGTTTTAAGAATATGCTGATTACTTGAAAATTAAAAACCAAATGAGTTATTTGAATGATGTTGATGTATCGTCAAAGATTTGAACTCTCATTTCTGAATTTCCTTTAATTTCATTGTTTGAAATGCATTTCTGTATAATCTTGTTAAGAAAAACGAGGGAGCAAAATCCTTGATCTGGATGAGGACTATCAAAGGCAAACAGTGGTGCACCTGAAGGGCTGGGTACTTCTAGGCCCTGCTTAGAATCCTTAGTATTTAATAGGAGATGCCCATCAGAAAATGCAAGTGAATAGATTCAGAAGGTGAATGTAAAAGCCTGTGCTAGCTAAAGATTCACAAGCCTGTGAGTGTGGGCCTGAATATAGTAGTAGGTAGGGAGACCTGTAGGAGTTGTTGGATTTCGTCAACTTTGTTAGATAACTTTGCTTGTTCTGTCTAGGTGTGAGCACTTTCGATCCATGTTCCAGTCTTACTGGAATGAGGATATGAAGGAGGTGATAGAAATAGACCAGTTTTCTTACCCAGTGTACCGTGCCTTTCTCCAGTACCTCTACACAGATGCAGTGGACCTGCCACCTGAAGATGCTATAGGTACCTCAGCCACCGGGACGGGCCAGGCCTCACGAGCAAAAATCTCTCCCTCCACGTTCTCACAGTACTGAAGTGTAAAAAGTTTCAACTCAGTTGGCTTTTACATGGTTTTTAGAAAATATTTGAAGTAAATGTCTTTAAAAATAGTATTGTATAAGTTGTCACGGTTCACAATTATAGACCTAGTTTATTTATGGCTGTGGACTTGTTTTAATTTTAATACTTTTTAATTTTGTAATATTTTAATTTTTAATACGTTGCTAATGCATTTAGTGTATCCTCTTGGAAACAAAAGAAGGGGGGCAATTCCATTTATTCCTTCTTTTGTACTGTAGAGGAAGTTGTATAAAGCGAGTGTAGGGAGAGGTCTGTTCTGGGGTGGGGAGGGGAGTGAAAAAGAGGATCTATTTAATAACCTTTAGGGTAGCATTCATTGAGAAACTTTTGATTCATCTCCATAACTCTTTTCACCAAAATGAAATATATATGTTTATAAATTAAGGCAAAATATCATAAACTTGGTGAAATTCTTTTTTGTTTTTAGGTCTTTTGGACTTGGCCACGTCTTACTGTGAAAACCGGCTGAAAAAGCTCTGTCAGCACATCATCAAGCGTGGAATTACGGTGGAGAATGCCTTTTCATTATTCTCTGCTGCAGTCAGATACGATGCAGAGGTAACATAAACAGCAAACTGAAGCCAACCCCTCCAGCTCCCTGTGCTCTGCCTCCCACCCTTTTCTTGCATGAGACAAGGAACATGAGTAATTTCGTATCTGTGTATGCTCTGAAATTCTGTCATTGTCTAATTGTAACTCATAATGATTCATGTGCGAAGAGCTTGCTCTGGACTCCTTTTTATTTGTGTGTTTGTTGTGGATGGTTGATTTTGCCCTGGATTGAATTCTTAATCGGGGGTTCACGGGTCTCTAAAGAATCTATGAATGAATGGCCTTTTGAGAGTCTGAAATTTTGCATTTGGTGTGTTTTCTTGAAGGTAAGAATCAGAGCGTCATCATATTGTAGGCTTCTTGTGAGCAGAACTGTTTCTTATTCTCTGTATTCTGTAGTGCCTGGCACATAGTAGGCACTGGATGATAAATGTTTGTTGAACTGAATGAATATGGTACCACCTGAAGGATACATTAAGGATAATTAGTGAACTAAAGTCTGGTACGGTTGGTTTTATAAATTTATAGAGAATATAAGGTAGAGAGCAACAGCCTTGGAGTCCAGCTAAGGCATACACCTTTAATGACACAATTAGCCCGTTCTTAGAGGTAGTATTTTGTCACCATTTGACAAGGCAGGGTACGCGGTATTGAGATTTACCAAACACCTGCAGGGATCTTCTCCTTTATCAAACTTAGGGATCCAAATGGACCATTATGTTTTGTATTTTCTTTTTTTTTTTTTTTTTTTAATTTTTTTTCTTTTTTAACGTTTATTTATTTTTGGGACAGAGAGAGAGCATGAACGGGGGAGGGGCAGAGAGAGAGGGAGACACAGAATCGGAAACAGGCTCCAGGCTCTGAGCCATCAGCCCAGAGCCCGACACGGGGCTCGAACTCACGGACCACGAGATCGTGACCTGGCTGAAGTCGGACGCTTAACCGACTGCGCCACCCAGGCGCCCCTATGTTTTGTATTTTCAAAGTGCATCCTATTTTTATTTGAAATTATATTATCATAAATATTTGCTAAGGTCAAATATAGTTGACTTTCTCTGTGGCCTGACAGCAGATTTGGTGATTAAATTATTTCTAATAGGAAATGGATGTCTAGATTTTTTTTCTTGCCTTTTCTGTGACACCATGAACTTATTTATTAGAAGTGCCCTTTAGGTTGCATTTCTACCTAGTGATGTAATTTTAAATTGGTCAGTGCCCTTTCTGTCCATTTGGTAATTCACTTTTAGCATCTTCTCTGTATCTCTCCCTTCTCCTTACTACTAATGAGTTCCATATTCTAGGGGTTAGGATATTGCTGATTAAAATCAGTTAGAACCACCTGGGCAGAGGCAAACATCTCAGCTCTAGTTGCTGGAAATTTCTCATTTTAAGTTAAAACCTGTCCCATCAAGTTTCCAGGAAAAAACCTTATGGCACTTCTATCTGTGCCAGCTGATCACTTTTTAAAATTAGCTTTCATTTTTCTCATGCTAAGTATAGACATTAGATACCAACTCTTCCCTGAGACTGCAAATGTGTTTCCCTGAGTCTGGCACAGTGTGGGCATATGGTTGGCCCTCAAGAATGTATGCTGAGTTTAATGAATGAGTGAATATATTTGAAACACCTTGCCATGAAGGTGTCCTTTAAAAAATGAAGAAAACAATAAAACTACAAACCCCCCAAATATTAATACATTCAATGTAGAAAACTTGGAACGTAGAAGACAAAAAGAGAAAGAATCACTTCTTTCTTTCTAGGCTGTATTTTTTTTGGGGTGGGGGGGGATTCTTCTAGGAGTTACCTTGTATTTCCCTTAATGCAATAGAATGTAGTAAGTAAATAAATGAAGTGTTTAGAATGTAAAAATAAAACCTACTAGCTGTATCTATAAGTTGATGGGAAGCTGCCACTAAGATTAGAAATTTACCACCAAAATATTGACTTTCAGAAGCTCCGCGTAGGGAGACTAGATGACTTTGCCTTCATTCTGTGGTTGAAATGCTAGGAAGATGGAAGACAAGCTTCTCACATTTTTTCTGTTTCCTGTAAGTTCTTGTGGTTTCCCCATACCCCCTTTTGACAAGGTAATTTTGCAGCAAATAGACACACATAAAAGCAACAAAAATGTATTGGCTCAGTAGTTAGGAAGATTTTTCTGGTTGTTGTGGAGCCCCGGCATTCTGAATGCACTGTCAGTCTTCCTCCAAGTTTTAAGTGAAGAACAACCTGGCAGAGGAGCACTTCAGAATTCCTCCAGTACAAACCCAAATAAATGTTGCCATCAAGGGAGTAGATGTGAAAAAAACATCGTATCAAGATAGTTAGTATCTTAGTATACAAATTTTGAAATGTTTCTATTTATACAGTTTCTTTTCAGGAAATGTTTGTTTTCTGTGTGTTTTGGGGTTTTTTTTGTTTGTTGGAAAGAGAACGCGAGCTGGGAGAGGGGCAGAGGGAGGGAATCTTAAGCAGGCTCCACGCTCAGCACAGAGCCCAACGCGGGGCTTGATGCCACAACACTGGGATCATGACCTGATATGATCTGTTCAACCCACTGAGCCACTCAGGCACCCCCTAGTGTATCTGAACATCAGGAGAAATAGTTGGGAGGGAAGTATTATTTGTTGAACCCAGAGTGGAGAGTTTTCCAGAAAATCCTCCTTGCTTAGCAATTTAAGTCCTAAGATTTTGCTCTTGGAAGCAATAAATATAAGGCCAGGAATCTAATTCCAGAATTAGTTTGGGATATGGGTGTTGAAAGTTTTGCGCTAAAACCATATGGCCAGCATTTTTTCTTCTTCACAAAATTAAAAGTTTTCTGTGATCAGTAAACTGTAAAGTATTTTTTGGTTAGTGAGAGTGCCTTTTCTTTATTTTGTCCTGTTAAGACTGTAAGTACATTGTAGGGGTGCCTGGGTGGCTCAGTCGGTTGAGCGACCGACTTTTGCTCAGGTCATGATCACACGGTTTGTGAGTTCGAGCCCCGCGTTGGGCTTTGTGCTGACAGCTCGGAACCTGGAGCCTGCTTCTGATTCTGTCTCCCTCTCTGCCCCTCCCCCACTCATGCTTGCACGTGCGCTCTCTGTCTCAGAAATAAATAAACATTAAAAAAAAATTGAAAAAAAAGACTTTAAGCACATTCTAAAAACTAGAGACCACTTTGATATGGAATATTTTGTACCTGATATACTAGGAAACAGATTCTAAACTTACAGTTTTGGGGGTTTGTTTTATTACTACTTTAACAATAATTTTGGGCAAAGTTAGGTGTGGTTCACAATTTCTTGCCATCCAGAATATATCTCAAGGGGGGCTTGTGACACATAGGTAGCCTGTCTCATCCTGGCCAAGTAGCCTTCCATAGAAAAATTAGCATTCGACTATTTTAGCTTTGGAGGACTGAAGACTGGATAAGAACTCCATTTAGGCTGCAATAGCATTTTTTAAAATGTGGATATTTAGACCATCGATTGTGTTTTAAGAAGATCTGTGGAAAGGAAAAATGACTCATTCTCGGAATATATAAATTATTGGAATAATTTAATTTAAACATTGAAAAATTTGGAATGAGTTTATAAATTAGAGTAGCAATTTATTTTGATCTTCCTTGCTAATTACAAAAAATCTGACATTTTATCTGATTTGCCTCAGAGCCACTTTATAATAATTTCACCACAAAATGTGATGAATATGGAATTACTTCTGATATACCAAAAATATTGTATTAGAGCCCCTGATTTTACACTCTTTCCCACTTTTATATTCCGTCGGCCTTAAGAAGATGCTTTCATTCTATTATGAACGTTTTTCATCTACGGGTCAAGTAATCCTTTTTATTCTTCTTGGAAATGTTTTATATAAACATTTAAACATATATAAGCTTTTATACAAAGCCCAGCAGTTCTGTTACAGTTAACTTACCAGTTGGGTAAGTGTTGTATTTTCTTTTCTGGATAATTGAAGATGTGATACATTTGCAGAGTGAGGTGAATAGATCATGTAGGTTCTCAAAATATTCAAGAATTATCAGGAAGATATTGATCTCGTTCACACATCAGAGGCAGGCTGGCTCAGGGCATCGGCTGCTAAGTGAGTTGCATGACTGTGCCACTCTGTTCATGCAGGTGAGCTTGCATATCCAGTTTCTCTCTCCAAGGGCACTCAGTGCTTCCTTTTCCATAGATCTGCCTTAAGCAAGAGTCAGTTATTAAATAAGTTCTTTAAACAACCCAGCTTTAGGTTATTTTCAGGATTCACTAGTCAGGTTTGTAATGTTTGAAACTGCTAAACATTTTTTGAATACTGAGCTATCTTACCAATTCAGACTCATTGGAGGGGAAGGGAAGATGGTTTGCTAGAGCTGTTTTCATAAATGTATGAAGTGATTTATAACTAGAGGTGCCGTCTGTGTACCTGTGCTATATACAAAGTTCTTCAGAGTTTATACTCAAGATAGTCTTTGGATATACTCATTGTTTGACCTCTGAAGATCTTGAATTCCGGATCTGTAGACACTGTAATGAGGTTTTACAGTGCCAGAATTTAGTGCAATCTTCTTTGAATTTGAAATTGTATAATTAAGAGTCAATATTTAAAGATCCTCATCTGATACATTAGATGGTTTGAGAGACTTTCTGTGCTTATGACCGGTTATTTCTTCCTAAAATATGTGTAGATAAACTAGTTGTCTCTTTTTGGTAAATAAGATAAAAATGACTTTTCTCTCCTTGTGGAATATAATTTAGTCCCAAAGCTGTGTGTTAATCATTGGGTTATTATACCAGGAGTAGGACTTTTTCTTCAATAATTGAGAGGGAATATTTAATATAGTTTAACATTATAGTTTATTATAACACACGGAACATTCAGCTGTACTTCAGCCCACTGGGAATCTCTTATTTAAAAACGTGGATCTGGAGATTGTGCTGATATTTTAAATGCATTGTGAATTCTCTAGAAAGCAAAACTGTCAGCAGCTGGCTGATACACATTAGATGTGGTTTATCTCTTACTGGTTATATGACTGGAAGGGGACATCATTCAGCTAGGGACAGAGGGACCCTCAGAATAGGGAAGTATTTGTTCGCAGGGGTCTGCAACGAGAGAGTAGAAAGGAGACATGTCTCTGTGTTTGTGTGGGTCCTTCCCCATTCTGCCCGACATTCTCATTGCACGGTGGCTGGAAACATGAAGCCAAGACGCTGCAGTTTAAATGTTGTCCAGTTCCTGGTTTGATAGAACCCTGAGTATTGACCTTCAGTGTAGCTGGCAAAGTTACAAGAATCAAGGTATTGGTGATAAGAGCTTTTAGTGTGATTTGCTGTTATATAGTCTTTGTATACATTCCAGTACCTAATGGATTTAATAAATACGTGTTCCGGCGTTTCAAGGAACAAACATGGTAGTGTTTTGCTGGGGATGAAAGGCTCTGTTAGCATTGGCAGAAAATTTTAACACTTGTATATATTACTTCTGGATGTCGGTAGCTGATGGCTTCTTTTGTCTGAGTGAAAACTCCAGACTGAATATTTTCCTCTGGACCGACTATCTGAGAAATTAGTGTGTGGGAGTGGGAGTGTGTCTTTCTTTGTGGCTTTAACAATGAAGGCATTTTTATCTCAGAGAGTGTGAAAATGAATTTAAGGTCTGTGGAATTTTTTTTTTTTTTTATGTGTCTCCTTAGGACATCTCTTCATCACTTTTGTATTTCTTAAGGTCTTCCTTAAGCTAAATAACCCACATCTTAATTCTTTTCTCTGACTTGACTGTGGTCAAACATATATTGGAGTAAAGTTGCTTTCAGCTTTGTTTTTAATTATTATTGAAGAATTGACGTATAATATTGTATTAGTTTCAGGTGTACGCTTTCAGCTTGTTAAAGTCTTTGCATGTGACCGGACTGTGTGACAGCCATGCGGAGGCTGTCCCCTCATAGGCTCTGTGAATGGGTGTACGTTCTAGAGAGTCAGACTTGAGGTAGGGGAGGTGTTGTGACTAAATAGTACGTGCTTTTATTTTTTTATTTAAAAAAATTTTTAATGTTTATTTCTGTGTGTGTGAGAGACAGCATGAGCGGGGAAGGGGCAGAGACAGAGGGAGACACAGAATCTAAGGCAGGCTCCAGGCTCCGAGCTGTCAGCACAGAGCCCGACGCAGAGCTCGAACTCACTCTCAGTGAGATCATGACCTGAGCTGAAGTCGGACACTCATCCGACTACTGAGCCACTCAGGCGCCTCAATAGTACGTGCTTTTCTGATGCCGACCTATGTACAGTCACTTGTTTGCTTAGTTTGAGGTTTCTGGCCTCAAATATCTTTTCTAGGGGAGGGTGAAAGATTTGGGATGAGGGTTAGAGTAATTTGATCAAAGTTAATAAAAAAAAGCCTCTTTTTGTTTTTATTTTTGTTGTGTGTGTCCAGGATTTAGAAGAATTCTGCTTTAAGTTTTGCATCAATCATTTGACAGAAGTTACACAGACTGCAGCATTTTGGCAAATGGATGGCCCTCTGCTAAAGGAATTCATTGCTAAAGCCAGTAAATGTGGAGCCTTTAAGAACTGAAGCCCCAGGCTGCTGGGTTTTGTGAATGCTCTGGGGCACTGGCCATGGTGGCTGCTTTGTGCTCTGCGGGTGATGTAATTTTGCAGGTAAAAAACCCGTCAGCTTGTTTGTTTTTCACATCTTGAGACACCATTCTCCGTGTAGGAATGTATGAAGGATGTACAGCTTTTCCTGAACCCGTTCTAAACAAGTCTTGTTTCCAGATATGTGCATTTTATTTTTTTTTTTTAATTTTTTTTTTTTCAACATTTATTTATTTTTGGGACAGAGAGAGACAGAGCGTGAACGGGGGAGGGGCAGAGAGAGAGGGAGACACAGAATTGGAAACAGGCTCCAGGCTCTGAGCCATTAGCTCAGAGCCCGACGCGGGGCTCGAACTCACGGACCGCGAGATCGTGACCTGGCTGAAGTCGGACGCTTAACCGACTGTGCCACCCAGGCGCCCCTCCAGATATGTGCATTTTAAATGTGACCTTAATTTGGCTGGAACATTGTAAAGGGGTGAAAGTTTAGCTGGTCGTTTGTGTTTTGTTTTTTGTTTTGTTTTGTTTTGTTTTGTTTTTGATTAGAGGAACTGCTGAACTTGGAAAGGAGAAGTTTGCGGTAATTCTCCTGGCTCACATAGTAACAACCCTTTCGACCCCAGGAACTGGGATGGTTTGTGGATTGTGAGATAGACATAAGAGGCCCCACCTTGAATTAAAGATGCTGACTTTGGGGCTTGTTGAAATGCTGCATCAGTTGCTAGTTCACTAGCCGTACTGTGAAGGAGTAGTGAGGATAGTTTGAGGTTTTTGTGTGTGTTTGTACTACTGAGGACCTTTTTTAACTTCATCGTGTATCAAAAAACAATATTCAGTTTAATATGAGTTAAACCTATTACGATGATGATTATGCAAAGATAAACTTGTAGGCTAGCCAAGGTTTCTCTTAAGAATTAAGTCCATAAAGAGTAGTAATTTAGGACTACCTGTAAAAAGTTGATATCGAAAGAAACTTTGGATAGAGGTCAATATTTTATAGAGTATCCACTACTATCCAACAGTGTTTTGTTTTATTAAGATAGAGTCTAAGAGCTGAAGTTTAAATTTGATTCCCCACCGTTTCCCCCATAAACGCTAATCATGAGAAGAAAATAATGGCATATTCAGCATACTCTTGCCTTCCTAGATTATGGCTGCTAGACGATCAGATCCACTACATCTGACTCACAAGGTGTTCTTAAAACCAGCTTTCTGGCAGGACTTCATAGAATTTCTCTCTTTTATCTATAGGCCAAGTGTCACACCTTTGCTTGTTTGCAACTTCAGCTTTCGTTTTTTATTTCCTCGTCTTTTGATTGTGTTAGGTATAATATTTAGCACAATATAACTTTGAAAAAGGATCAAAATTATGATTTCCCTGAAAAGATCTTTTTAAATAGGATCCTTTTAAGTTCAAGTTTTTTGGGTTTTTTTGTTTGTTTCTTTTTTGGTCTGGTTATGAACATGACTTTTGGAGGAAGAGTGTTCAACTCTGAGTTTTATCGTGTGTGTCTGTTGAGCTTGCTGTAAGAACAAAGCTTTGTTCTCTCTGGCTCACAGACTCATTTCCATTTGTGGGCATTCCCTTAGTGAACGGTTTCCTGTTTGGAAGGTCCCTCATCTGAACTTGGAGCCCAAATACATTTTCAGAGTCAAATTAACAAGAGAGTAAAGATATGCTGCAGCTACTATTTTTAGCAGTGTTTCTAAGTGTGTCTGAGGGTTTGGATGGGAGTGAGGGCCCAAAGATAGGAATTCATTGATAAGTGAGATAAATTCAAACCTAGAAGTCCCAGCTCCCTTTTCTTGACCACGTTGCAAGTGATTGAAGCCCAGTCAGTTATTAATTAGGATTAGTTCTGCAACATGATAGAATTTTTCTTACTAGGTTGATGAATGCACATTAATTTGATTATTAGCTATGATGGGTGGTGTTCATAACAATCACTGTTCTATAGGCTTATGATCTGGACAAAACAAGACCTGCGGTATGTTTACTATTGCTCTTACTTGAAAAAAACCTAAAGCACAAATTAAAGTAGTAGATCCATTTCCATAGATTGTTCATTCATTCAACAAATATTTACTGAGGTTCCTTATATAGGTAAAGAACCACTTCTCAGTACCGAGTAATTTGTATGAGTGTGTATGTAGTGAAGAACATGGAAATACGTTCTTTGAAAAGTACTTGAGTATCTTTTTTTTTTAATACACTCTTATTTTTCTACTTGGTTTCATTGTTAATCATAGCAGGAAATGAAAACTGTTCTTTGAGTTGTTTTTTTCATCTGATGTGATAATGAAAGCCAAAGTATTCATATTTCTTAAGATAACCCTAACTGTACTCTTGAACTTCTTACTGGAATAATATTTGATACTCTAGTATATAGGCTGTATTTATGTAATGTTTAGAATGACATATTAATAAATAATCTGTCAAGACATACATGCAGAGTTGTTTTTCCCTCTCAAAAATCAGTAATGTGCAGCCTTAAAACGGAAGGAAGTTCTAACACATGCTGCAAGCTGGATGAACCCCAAGGACATTATGCTGGGTAAAATATGCCAGTCACAGAAGGACAAATACTGCATGATCCCACCCACACAAGGTAACTAACTTAGTCAAATTCACAGAGACAGAAAGCAGAATGCTAGTTGCCAGAGGTTGGAGGTGGGAGAGAGGGCTTAGGAGCTAATGTTTAATGGATACAGTTTCAGTTTTGCAAAATATAAAGAATTACGGAGATGGATGGTGGTGGTGACAACACAACAGTGTTGAATGTATGTGATGCACTGAACTGCACACGTAAAGGTGGTTAGCTTGATAAATTTCATGTTCTATATATTTTTCCACCATTAAAAAAAATTGGTACTATGATTCTTAGCAGGTATCAGGCTGAAAACAGGTAACACAGTGAACAGGTCACCTGTTTCTCAGTTGTATCCCCTACTCCCATAGAAATCTTTTGGTTTGGGGGCACCTGGGTGGCTCAGTCAGTTGAGCATCCGACTTCGGCTCAGGTCATGATCTCACAGCTTGTGAGTTTGAGCCCCACGTCGGGCTCTGTGCTGACAGCTCGGAGCCTGGAGCCTGCTTTGGATTCTGTGTCTCCCTCTCTCTCTGCCCCTAACCCACTCACATTCTGTCTCTGTCTCTCTCTCTCTCAAAAATAAACATTAAGAAAAAAATTAAAAAAAAAAATCTTTTGGTTTTATTCCTACTGAAAGATAATACGATTGAACTGTCACAGCAGAAAAATGCATCTGGATCCTTGTACGTATAAATGAAGGGAAGTACAGTCCCTATCCTCAAGGAACGTGTAAGTTATTAGGAGAGAGGAGAGAGAAGTCGAGGAATATGTAAAAACCTATTTATAAACAACTTTTCACAATAGGTGGTGCGAGAAAACTTAATACCTTATTATGAGAAATAGATGCTCTGAAGACAATGTCCTTCTCACTCATTCCAAAACAGCAGGTAAGTGGCATAAGCAAAGGCTTAGAGGTGGTGGCTGATAAGCCTTCCAGAACTTAACCATTAGCAAGTTTGGTTAGAATGGAGGACATAAGCCAAGGCCCATTAGGGGAAACGTGGGCAAGGAGAGGGTGTGTGTGTGTATGTGTGTGTGTGTGTGTTTGAGAACATTTGTTTCCCATGGTGCCAGACATTATGCCCTATGCTTCACATATTTTCTTCTCTAGTGTCCATGTTTTGTAACGTAAGGCATAAGGTAGGTAGAGTTAAGCTCAGACAGATTAAGTAATTTGATTGAAGTTTTTTGGTAGTGAATGACATAGCACAAGTACAAACCCAGGTTTAATAGTTTGCCTAATATTTGCTTACTTAGTGACTGTCAAACACATGTTGCTCCATTGTGCCAAGTTGCCTCCCATGGTAGGAATGACAGATTAAATTTGAAGGTAAAGTGGGGGACAAAGGCTTTCTCTTAAGTAAAGATCATGACATCAAAACTCAGATAAACTTTGCTATGGGATATAATAGCAGGAGAGGAAGTTCCAGTCGTCACCTGGACCAGGAGAAGTCTTCGTTCAGTGCATCTGTACGAAGTTTTCTGTAGTTTTTTTTTTATATTCAGAATTCCTATTTATTGTGGTAAAACATAAATGAATTTACCATTTTAACCATTTATTTTTTATTTTAGAGCATGTTCAAGGAGAGGGACAGAGGGAAAGAGAGAATCTCAAGCAGGTTCCACATTCATCATGGAGCCACATACTGGCTCTGATCCCACAACCTGGGATCATGACCTAAGCTGAAATCAAGAGTCGGATGCTCAACTGACTGAGCCAACCAGGTGCCCCCCTTGTAACCATTTTTAAGTGTACAATTCAGTGGTTTTAAAAATTGAAGCATAGTTGGGGCACCTGGGTGGTTCGGTTGAGCATCTGACTTTGGCTCAAGTCATGATCTCATGGTCTGTGAGTTTGGGGCCCATGTCAGGCTCTGTGCTCACAGCTCAGTGCCTGGAGCCTGCTTCGGATTCTGTGTCTCCCTCTCCCTCTGCCCCTCTCCCACTCATGCTCTGTCTCTCTCTCTCAAAAATGAATAAATATTAAAAAAATTAAAAATTGAAGTATCATTGGCATATATCAGGTTTTCAGTAGGTAATTTGATAATTATGTACATTATGAAATGCTTACCATGGTAAGTGTATTTACCATCCCTTATCACACAGTTAATACAGTACTACTGACCGTATTTCCTATACTGTACTCTTCATCCCCATACTTAATTATTTTATAACTGGAAGTTTATACCTCTTAATCCTTGTCACTTATTTTGCCTGTCTCCTTGTCCCCTTCCTCTCTGGCAGTCATCCTATATTAATGAGTTTGTTTCTCTTTTCTGTTGTTTGTTCATTTGTTCTGTTTTTTAGATTGTTTACATAAGTGTAGTCATACTTTGTCTTACTCTGACTTACTTCGCTTAGCATAATACCTCTAGTTCCATCCACATAGTTGCAAATGGCAAGATTTCATTCTTTTTTGATGGCCAGGTAATACTCCATCGTATATATACACCACATCTTTATCCATTCATCCATCAATGGACAGTTGGGGCTCTTTCCATATTTTGGCTGTTGTCAATAGTGCTGCTATAAACATTGGGCTGCCTGTGTCCCCTTCGAAACAGCATACCTGTATCCCTTGGATAAATA